CCAGTAAAACTAGAGCCTGGCGAAGCAGCTGTGATCCTGTGCCATTTTTTTCAAGCTGCCTTATGACCACTTTACAGCCTGCAAGTTCATCCATAAAAGGGTTAGAAGGGGGAGAGGGTTATATTTTCAAATTGACATGGTATCTAACTGTTAGCAGCCCTAGTCCAAGGCTGCAGGGGAGGGAGCCTTGGGAACCTGTACTGTTTACAAGAGGAAATTTATGTTGCTCACTGCATGGAACGCTGTACTCGCCATTGCTACCTGGCAACTTCTACTGACCCTTCAGGTCTCTGCCTGTGCATTTACTGGACACTACCTTGGGTCTATACAACATGCCTCTATTGTACACTCATTTCCCTCTCACAGCTCTTTGCATAACTATAATAATTGAATATATAAGTATGGCTTCTATGTTTCTCTCTCCTGTTTTACTATGGGCTCCATTCACCATGATTCCCCAGGTATTCACCACAGTGTTCAACTTAAAGAAGGTGCTCAGGAAGCATCATCCAGATTTCACCTGTCCTCCCTGCCTGGATAGCTGAGAGTTAACTTTGGCGTCACAGCTCCTGATTCACAGTGCTTCCTGGCCTGCTGCGAGGGACTAGGAACCTCCCCACCGATGGCCAGGTAGAACAGCAAACGGGTGTGACTCTCTGAATGATAAAATGCATGGCTCCTCTTACCACATATTCCATACACTGACCCCACTGTATTTTTCTCCCTCTGTGACCTCATGCAGAGGATGGGTCTCAAAATGATTGTTTTAATTTTTCTCCCCCAAAGATTCTTTCTAACACACTTACTCTCCTATTACCCCCTCTATCCCAACCTATTGCTGTTTCCCCTGTTGGCTTCACGGTGACAAATAAGTTAAAGCTGTGACTGCAATTGAGACTCAGCCTCAGGGAAAACACAGTTGCCACCACGCAATAACACCGAAGAGCCCAGTGCAGCCTGACTGCTTTGAAGTTGCCTCCTGCAGGCCCCACTCCCGGGAGGCTGCTGCATGCTCCTAATCAGCAGGGGCTTCCACACTGTGAGGTGCCACGACTCTTTCATTATCAGGAAAACAACATGCTCTTAGAGCTAGTAACCTGAAAGGAGCATATATCGCATGCTACGGTAAAACCGCCCCAAATTATCTAGACCCAAGATTCCAGTGGCAGTTAAAGGGATCCTTTTACTGGTCCTGTCTTTTTCTAAAGCAGAATGTTTTAGGTCAGCAAGCTCTTCTTCAGTTCCTTCACTTAAGATGTGCCCAGCCAGGGGAGATGCATGGCCAGACTGCAGGGAGGGCAAGGAGAATCTATTCCAGCAGCTGTTCCTGACCCACGTGCACACCAAAGCGAGCAGTAAACACATGTTGATGACATGGATGAGCTACCTGTAATTTTAAATTATAATATTTCCCCAAATACCAAAATGTGTGGAATTTAATGAAGAAATAAAAAGTTGCTTTTAAAGTAGTAAAATTAATTTTTATGATACAATGGTTCCTGTAGTCTGTAGCATAACAGGCTCACTATTCCCAGGGATTTTTTTCCCCCTGAGGTAGAGAAGAACCCAAAGAATAAGACACCAGCTGTTCAGTTTCTATGTAACCACAGGAAATCCTTCATACCTTAGGCTGAATAAAGGAATTTTATTTTCTATAATCCATCATGTCAACATGACAGAATCAGAGGGCATATTGACCAAGAAGTAATCTATCTTCAGATCAATATTTTCATCTGAAAATATTTTCCTATTTGTTACAACAACTAAAAACCAGTTTGAGGTAAAGCCAACTATTCATGTAAAAGTATATGGATCAACGCAATGGGAGAGTGTGTGTTTGACACGTGAACAATAGGAGATCTTTTCATGAAAATGTGAAAAAAAACCCCACAGAAAACAAAAAACAAACAAACACTGAAAGACCAAGGCTAAGTTTCTAAAATTCTTGGGGACCTTTTATTTACATAGCTGTGAGTAGGATGTTTAATATATATTTTTACCATTAGCACTAAATCCACATTTTCCATTGTCATCATATTGATGTCAATGAGGCAATAATCATTATTAATTTACAGGAAGATAATATTATAGGAGTGGGTCATATTTTACACCTGCAAACATGTTTAAACACAGCTTTCAACCTGTGTCTGAAAACCCAGGGAAGGAGGGACTTGGAAAGACTACAGAATTACTTTAGGGGATCTGGGAAACCATATGTGAAGTCACCAGCATTGTCCTAGAAAGAACTCAGTCTCTAAGAAGTATTTCCAATGGTAGTTATTTCAATAAACTGTAATTAATTGGCCTCCATCTGAGTAAGAGCATTTAAGCAGCATCGAGCTGGCCGAGGTTAGGTATATAGGTTTTAAGTCAAAGAGACCTAAGTGGATGCCTGCTGTGCTACATAGAAGCTATATGACCCTGGTTGGGATGATTTACTTAATTCCTCTAAACCCTAGTTTCCTCCAGAATAAATGAGGTAGAGTACACAAATCCCTAAGCATAATGAATGGTACACACAGACTCCTCAGATGGTTATGGCCATCAAACACTCTGCACTTCCATTGTGTGAATTACCCATGCATATCTTTACCCATTTTTCAAATTAAGTTGTATTTTTTCCTATTGATTTTCAGGAGTTCTTTCAATTGCATGCACATTAACATTTTGCTGCAGCATTTTCTATCAGTTTATCATCCTTGATGTCTTTTTACGTCTTTAATAAAAATTTAAAATTTTTGTGTAGTTGAATCTATCATTTAAAAAAAATGTTTCCAGGTTTCATGTCATGTTGAGAAAGGCTTCCCCTACTCCAAAATTTTTAAGTAATACTTTTCAACATGAATTTTTTAAAGTCACAGATTTAAAATCTTAAAAATTTGTGCTAGAAAAGAAATTTCTTTTGATGAAGTGACATGCTCTTCTTCCCCTGATTATGTTTCTTTTTCTTTTCTTTTTTTTAAATCCTCACCAGAGGATATTTTTGCCATTGCTTTTCAGAGAGAGTGGGAGAGAGAGAAACACTGATGTGAGAGAGACACTGGTAGCCTCCCACACGTACCCGACGGGAATGGGGACCTGAGAACCTGCAGTCTGAGCAAACCGGCTGGGCCCGATTGTGTTTCTTATTTTGCCTTGTAGCCGGGAAGCTCTGAGTCTTGTTTTATCAGGATTTTCTCTTTTGTGTTAATTTCATTTTTATCCTGATACCTATGTTATTCTGTGTCCTTTAGTGCACGCTACCTTGGATCTTTTCTGAAATTAAAAAGCCATTGAGTATAAAATAAATTAGAAAATAAATAAATAAAAACAGAAAGGGATGAAATAAATAATCAACAAAACCTATTTAGTTTTAATTTAAGCTTTCTCAGGTCACTTGTTTCTCAATCCATCTTACTATGAATTCTTGGTCTGCCAGAGTGAACTGGTCCTCAGGGGGTAAGATTACAAATATCTTGCTCTCACTCTAATTATTCGTTTACAAATCTGTTCACCTCATTGCGAGCCCCTCCAGGGTAAGGATGGTTCTAATTACCCTCAAATCCAAGTCACCTGTGGCTTAAAGTGAGCAGGTGTTTGCTGAATAAGTGAACCAGAAAAAAGTCACTCACAAAAAGCTCACATCAGGAATCTGGTTTAAGGAGGCAGCCCCAGGACTCCCAGGGTGTGTCCCATTGTGGGTACATGTGGCATCTATAATCCTGATGACAGCAAGCAGATGACCCAAAGGCTCAAGAACTCGCCATCACTAGACTGGAGTAGCCCAGGGAAGGCAGCAGAGCCCGGCAGGTCAGCTGGCATGACCTCCGTAACTAAAATAACACAAACACCTCACCGTCCCCGGAAATCCAATTATTTGGGATTTAATTGCACCCTGCTTGCCTACCTTCTAATTTTTAATTAGCTTGATGACAAACAAACGTGGCAACGTGGAACCTGACTTTGTTTTAGAAACTAGGTTTCATTTAAATTAGAAATTCAAACCACTGGCATAAATGAAAAGCTGAAATTCAGTAATAAAATTTCTTTTAACAACAATAGCTTTGGAATACAAGGAAGCCTTAGGTGCTGGAGTTAGATAAAAGACAAGTCCTGAAATCTTTAAAGTGAGCGTTCTGCTTCATTTTCCCTGTTCACACCTGATAACTCAATTCCACTTTCTCTGGGTTTTTATGCAATGTGTGTGGTCTCCTTATCCTAGACAGGGGAACAAAACAAATTATTGCCTCGACTTCATTGATCTTGTTCTGCAGTGGATTAGGATCCAGCATCCATTGTCCCCTCCTGTTAGTGTGCCTCCCAGTGGTGCGGAAGGTTGCAAGCTATGAACTGCACGCTTGGACATCCCTGCAAGTGAACAGACACCTGTGTGAGATATGGGAGGAGCCAGCGGGGCAGGGGCCACACTTGGGTGGCTTCGGCAGTTTTCGCTGATAAGCACCTTTGCTTCTCCCATGTTTGCATCAGCTGAGTTTCCTGTGTCCGGTCACTAGCTTCATGGGTGTGAAGAGTCATTCACTTTGCTGGTCTGGATCCAGCAGGCAAAGCATGGCTCTGGGTCTGCCTCTTTATGGTAGCTATTGATCCCAGGATCCCAGCTTTGGTGGCACAAGTCTGGAGCCAGCAGGGGAAACGGCGTTCCCAGATCCTTGGAGAGGCAGCAGGTCCCCTGGGGGTTCTGGGACTCACTCTAGGAGGTGCAGCCTGGAGCTTGCTCCTACGAGTCCTTCCAATGATTTCCTCAGTACTGCTTCCCTAGGACAAACGCCAATCTGGCCTAAAACAGTTTGATTCTTGTTTTTTTACAATCAAAAGAGTGAGAGGCAGTTGTAATAATTTATGCATATGAAACGTGAACGTGCATGAAAAACAATGGCATTATAATTATTATTAACTTTAAATGCCATTTAAAACTCATCATCTCATTTAAATAACTCATGTACACAGGGACTTTCAAAAGACATTTAATGCAGAAAGAGCACTCCAAGAGAAAGTCTTACCAGCGGGTGTGGATGTGGATTTTGGTGCTGGAAGCAAACTCCTGCGGGGTGTAGTGACACTGGAGGATGCCGGAGGGGCCACCCGGCCGGCTCCCTTGGGTGCGTCTTTAGAAGGCAGAGCTACCTTCAGGGCTGGCTGGTCTTCATTCCCAAAGGTTGAACCTGTGGGAGACAGACAGTAGGTTAATTATAACTTCATGAAAAATGGATGGACCCCTGTGCCATTTGCAGGTGCCAACCAATCCTGCTTTAGAACTCGACCTGCTCTCAGTGAATAGCCTTAAAAAGCAATTTTCTGGGACCAGATGTGGAAAAGAGCTCCCTTCAGACACCACATAAAAGTCTTTCATTTAAATCTCCTGTGCAGGGGGCTCCACAAAAGTCAAGAGCAGCCTCAGTCCAAAGATTTAACACACATGCACACACAAGTCACCCTACCCCCCACCCCCTACCTCCTTATGTGGATGTGTAACTGTACATGTATGTGATGTGCACTTATCTGATAATTCACAGAGGAGGAGCAATAATTTCTTGGAAACTCATGTGAATGACTCAGGAGGGGTGAGAATAAGAATTTACACGTGCCACCGCTAGTCCAGAAAGTTCATTCAGGGATCCTGGGACCCAGCTAATTCTACCTTCAGAACAAGAGGCTTGGGATGAAGGGAGATGGGTGGGAAGCATGAACACAGAGAATCTTTTTGAAACCCATGAAGCTTTTGTTTGAAAAGCTGAGGTCTCACCAAACCAAGAGGACCCTAAATTAGAGTCTAATTTATTCCAAAGGCAGAAAACATTTATGAATAATTTCAGTTTACTATTCAATACAGAAACAGTCTCTGTGAGACGGCTGGTTTATGATCGACGGCTCTGGCATGCTGAAGGTGTGGCAAATTGGGATATGTGTCAGGTTGAAATGCACAGTGTGGTTGTGGCCCAAACTTTTCTTCTAGATCTTTCTAAATCTACAGACAATGATACCACCATCTCTTTCCTGTTAAAGGATAAGTCCTCTACATACACCTCTGAGTACAGCTGCCAGGCCTAATTTACTGAATTAAATAGAGAGCCTTAAATACTAAGATTACTGCTTGTTTGGGATAAAAACCATCCAGTCACAGGAATGTGACCATCTTCCATGGGAAATAAGCAATGACAACTGGAAGAAGTCTACAGAATTTTAGTGAAAGATCAATTTTTTTTGTTTGTTTTCATCATTTTAAAAGGATAGTCATAACATCCTATTTAGAATAGAGCCTGCATGAAAATGATAACATTATTAAAATGGCTTTAGTGTTCAAACCATCCAGGGGTTTTATTCAACCACTTAGAGGAAGAGATTCAATCACTTTCCTCCTTCTGAAGACCTGAAAGTCTGTTTTAAAATGGGTGAAATTTGTTTTGCTTCTAAAGAAAAGTGTACTTAGGAAAAAAAAAAAAAAGAATGTGCCATTTCCTAACACAGAGCTTATGTCCTATATACCTCTTTTAAGATGCTGTGCAAGGATTTAAATAGCTCTGAAGAGTGCTAGCAGAATGCATTTGATCTATGCAAACAGAACAAACTCACTGAAGCTCCACCAAAAGGATCTGCACTGTGTGCTGGATGTCAGATAAAAAAGCAAGCACATGTTTGATCCAAACCTTGTCAGGAAAAGGGGTACCGTGCACCTGTAAAACAGTGAGTCTTAGCTTCTGAATCATAGAGCAGGCTCCCCAGTCCATCCTGAAATTTAGACAATCTCTAGGGGTTTGTAGGACATTTCAGATGGGCGGGGGCACTCAACCACTAGAAATATTTCACATGGGATTACCTCATGTTTAGCCTACTGCAAACAGTACTGCCAGAATAATCTACTCACCAAAATGTGTAGTAGAAGCTGAATTGAGCACAAAACATGTCATGCAGTCTTTTATTTAACAATCTATTAAAATTTCTTAAGAAGGAAAATATTTTGTATCATTTGTAGACTTCAAATGCCCTTTTATCAAATCCTCTTGCACCCACCATTATTCTCTTACATGCAATTTATTATTCAATAAACATGTCAATTTTGAGATTTGGCCACTTTCCAGGCTGGAAAGTAATCTGTCTGTTAGAAGTATGAAGTGTTAAGGAAGCTGTGTACTCCCTTATGAGAGAGGTCTTGAATTACCAAAAAATAAAATAACATAATAAAATAAAACTCTATTCCTATCCATTATTGTGGGGTACAGCTGGCAATAATCAGTACCACTCTTTGAAAACCAGCTTAAATTGGCCAATAGTGAAAAAAATATTACTTGGCAAATGAAAAATACCCTAGATACTTCCGGTCAAGATGATGGAGTGGTAAGCGCTGTGCTCACCTCCTCCCATGACCACATAAAAATTACAACTAAATTATAGAACTGCCACCCTTGAGAACCACCTGAAGACTAGATGGACAGAACTTCTATAACTAAGGATATAAAGAAGAAGCCACATTGAGACTGAATATTGAGTGTCAACTATAGTTGAAAAATTTTTTAAAAATTAAAAAAATACTCTAAATTTGGAAGTGGTACTGAATTCTATAAATGCTTTGGGTACTTCACAACAATGCAGACAATGGGAAACCATTGTTTAATAAGAGGAAGAAAAGAACTGCAAATAAACAAACCGTGCTTTGTGAGCCAGAAAAATGTTTTTCTGGAGAAGTCAGCCAGTGGAAGTGGTTTGTGTGTCTATTGAGTCATCTCATCCCCAGCCAATCTGAACCTAACTTTGCCTGCATGAGCCCGGTGGTACATGGTGTAGACTCGGGAGAGAGCCAGGCAGGTTGTGGAAACCTGCCTCTTCCTCCCACCTCTCTGCACCTCTGTTCCTTCATTTGTAAGTGGGAATAATGGTAATTGAACTCACAGAGCTATTGTGAGAGTTACAAGAGCTAATGCAAGTGGATTTTAAAAAGCTGATACAGGAGTTAGTGCAAGAAAACACTTAGAGTGTCTGATACATGGGACACGGATATGTTATTAACACTTACAGGTTCCTTTTAAATTCAGTGGTTAGTCATCAGAGCAAATCAGTTTTTCATAGGAACTTGGAAAGTGTTCAAGGATTAACATCAGAAGAGCTGCTCTCAGTGAGAAGAAAGGAAAGGGCTGAAGTAGATCTGATAGCAACTGCAGCATGAAAGACTGAAGAGAGTGGCAGTATGACTGTCTTTACAAAATATGATGAACTACTCCAGACAAAGGGAAAGGTGAGACTAACAACATAAAGAACCACCAAGCTAGAGAAATATAACACATCGCCAGTTCCATTACCAGGGAAATGGCCGGGACAGAGGGCCTGAGAGATTTAACTTCCCTACAGATTCATAATTGTTTTTCAAATTGCTAGTTGCAATTTATACCAACCACAGGTAGTGACTGTCACACTTTAATTAATTAGTAATTAATTTATAAGTCTCTGACAGATAGTGAAGTTGAACATTTTTTTCACATAGGTATGGGCCATTAGTTTTTTCTTTTATAAGATGCCCATTCATAACTTTTGCCCATTTTCCTACTGAAGTGTTTTGTCTTTCAAACTGACATGTAGGAGTTCTCTGAATATTCTGGATACTGATGCTTTATTGGTATATATTTCAAATGTTCTCCTGGTCTTTGGCTTGTCTTCACACTTATGGTACCTTTATTTGGAAGCCTTCCATTTTAATGCAGTTGATTTTTCTCAGTCTTTTCTCACTTGGTTTGTACTTTAGGTGTCTTGGCCTTTCATTCCCTAGCTGATGTCATATAGATGTCCGCCTATGTATTCTATTAAAAGTTTTACTTTTCACATTTGGATCATTAATTCACCTGGAATGGGGCACAGGACAGGGATTAGATTTGTTATTGATAGCCAATTGTCCCAGCCCTGTATATTGGATAGTCCATTTTCTCTGCCATATCTGCATTGCAAGCTGTTGTATGTCAAGTTCTCATATAGGCATGATTATTAGGGGAAGCTAACTACTCCCAAATTTCAGTAACTTATAGCAAAAGTTTTTTTGTTGGCCACAAATCATCTAACACAGGTGCTCTGGATGGTCTGCTATTCTGGGGAGCTCTACTCCAGGCAGGAACTCAGGGATCTAGGAAATAGTTTCTTACATATGACACCTAAAATGCAAGTAACTGAAGAAAAAATGTATGTTAGACTTCATCAAAATAATAATGTTTGTGCTTCAGATGACATTATTAATAAAGTGAAACAACATTCCCTAGTATTGAAGAAAATATCTGCAAATCACATATCTGGTAAGGGTCTAGTATTCAGAATATATAAAAAGCACTTATAAGCCAACAATAAAAAGATAAGCCAATTAAAAATGAACCTAGGATTTGAATAGACATTTCTCCAAAAAAGGTATGTAGATAGCCATTAAGAATATGAAAAGATCCCAATGTCCTTAGTCATGAGGAAAATGAAAATCAAAACCATGCAGTACCACTTTAAACCCACTAGGTTGGCTATAATAAAAAATACAGATAATAACAAGTGTTGGTGAGGATGTGGAAATATTGGTGGGACTGTAATATGATGTCCACTGCTTTGGAAAACAGTTTTGAAGTTCCTCAAAATGTTAAACATACTTACCGAATGACCAGCAGCTCCACTCTTAGGTATGTGCACAAGGGAACTAAAAATATATGTCCACACAGAAACTTGTACACAAATGTTGATAACAGTATCATTCATAATTGTGAAAAATGGGAACAACTCAAATGTCCATCAGCTGATGAATGGATAACCAAATGGGCTCTACATGTTACAATACGGTTGAATCTTGAAAACATTATGCTAAATGAAAGAAGACCAATACAAAAAGCCACATCTTTTATGGTTCCATTTATATGAATGTCCAGAACAGACAAATACATAGAGACAAAAAATAGATCAATGGCTGTCAGGGAAGGAGAATGGGGAGTGAGTGCTAATGGGTAAGGGGTTTCTTTCCAGGGTGATGAAAATATCCTGGAACTCAATAGAAGTGATGGTGCATAACTTGGTTAATATGCAAAACTTATGGATTGTATACTTTAAAAGGGTGAACTTTATGGTATTTGAATTACATTTCAATAAAAAAAATCTCCTCCGTAAGTTTTCTTTCCTGGATCCCCTGGCTGGAAAAGTTCCTTTAACTGTAATT